TGCAGTGATTCTAGCAGATGGATGATTGCTATGCAGGAGGAAATGGAGTCATTGAGTAAAAATAACACTTGAGACTTGGTGAAATTACTTAGAGGTAAAAACGTTGTTAGCTGCAAATGGATGTTCAAAAGAAGTCGCATCAAGGATTGAAGAAGTTATATACAAGGCTAGAATGGTGGTAAAGAGCTACAGTCAGATTCCAGGTGTTGACTTTGCAAATGTGTTCTCATTAGTTGTGAAGCATAGTTCCATCCGGGCTTTAGTTAGAGTGAAGGCTATGACTAGGAACTTGAACATATGGATGTCAAGACAAAATTCTTACGTAGAGAACTTGAGGAGAGCATCTATATGCAACAGCCAGAAGGATTCGTAGTCTCTACAAAAGAAGACTGTGTGCTTTTGTTGAAGAAGTCCTTATATGGACTAAAGCAAACACTGAGGCAGTGGTATAGAATGTTTGATTCATTCATGACTACTTGTAGTTTCTTCAGATGCAATTATGATAGTTGTGTGTACTTCAGAAAAAAGATAGTGGATCGAGTACATATTTATTATTATATGTTGATGATATGCTCATAGCAGCCAAAGATAAAGAAGATGTCAAAAAAGTGAAGTTTTAACTTAGTAAGGAGTTTGATATAAAAGATTTGGGTACAGCAAAGAAGATTCATGGTATTGAAATCTTGAGGGATAGAAATGCTGACATATTGTATTTGAGTCAGAAGAGGTACATTGAGAAGGTGTTTGAAAAATTTAATATGGTGAATGCGAAAGTTGTCAATACTCCCTTGGCTGTCCACTTTAAATTATCATTTAACTTGTGTTCTCAGTCAGTTGAAGACATTGATTACATGTCTCAGGTTCCTTATTCTAGTGCAATTGGTTCGCTGATGTATACTATGATTTGTATAAGACCTGATTTGGGACATGCAGTTTGTGCAGTTAGAATATACATGGGAAATCCTGGCAAGGAACATTGGAAAGCGATGCAGTGGATCTTCACATATTTGAGGGGCTCTTTCTAATGTTTGTTTGCATTTTGGTAGAAATTCAGATGGAATCATTGAGTATGTGATTCAGATTATGTAGGGGATCTTGATAAGAGGAGATCACTTACATGGTATGTGTTCACTCTTGGAGGCTGTGCTATCAGTTGGAAAGTTACTTTGCAAAATATAGTAGCTTTGTCTACAACATAAGTAGAATACATGGTCATTATAGAGGCATGTAAGGAGGCTATGTGGTTAAGTAGATTGATTGGTGAAATTAGTGAAGACTTGTAGGTGTCTACGGTATTCTTTGATAGTCAGAGTGTAATTTTCTTGATTGAGGATTAGATATTTCACAAGAGGACTAATCACATTTTGTGAGGTATCATTTTGTGCATGATGTGATTGCTTGTGGTGATATTGTAGTGATCAATGTTGATACCAAGGATAATCATGCTGATATGATGACAAAATCACTTCCTATTATTAAGTTTGAACATTGCTTGAACTTAGTGGGTATTTGTCATTAATTTACTCCATTGGGATAGAGGTGTCAATCCGGGTCGGATTGGCCCGCTAACATATGAGCCCGGTAACGGCCTGCGTGAAAAAAATCCCGCCCGCTACGGGTTCCGGGCCGACCCACAAATTTTGGACTACAACTCAGGCCCGCCCACTAACCCATCCGAGTCGAGCTCATGCGAGTTACGGGTCGCGATTTGTTCCGATTTGACCTGTATTATTGCATAAATAAAATTGCAAAAATATAAAATTTTTCATATTTATAGCAAAAAATATTTTTTTTGTTAAATGTAAACTAAGAATTGAACAAAATGATACATTCATATTTATAGCAAGAAATGTTTACATAGAATTCAAATTTAATGTTACACAAATTATTTATAACTTTACAAAGTTAAATTTAACTTAAACAAATAACAACTAAATGCATTTCTAATTACTATTATCAAATATTTATAGCATAAGTACATCCCAACTAGGTTGGCACCTACTTTTATTATAATTTATAGTTTAAGTAAATCTCAACTAGACCGTCAC